TTAAAAAAAAAAAAAAAAAAACAGTTAATGAGTAGCTACTACAAATTCACTTGCCTAGCAGATTTTGTAAATGGTGAAAACTACTTTTAAGTGAATGTAAAAATAACAGGAAGTGATTACAAATTAATACTACACGGAAATATTATGTTATTAGAATTTCTTTGGGAGGACAGAAGTTGTGGGATGGGTGGCACCCAAAAGCAGCACTGTATTATTAAGAGTTAGTGGCCTTGGTTCAGAAAAGGCCAATTTCAAGTATTACACATTTTTCATTTACTTACCCCATACTTCATTTGACTTGGTTATCTCAGTGCCCTCAAATTCTATTCATCTGATACTCTATTCAAATAATACATGGTTACTATTACAAGCAAGATCAGAATTGCATCAAAATATAAATTACACTGATCTATTCTAGAAACAATGAGACAAATGAAATCAATGTTTAAATTCCAAAAATTGTAAACTGTCATGAGTTTTTATTCCTTATCCAAAATGTCTTAGAATTTATCACAGTAAGTCTTCAGACAAAGTTAAAAAAAAAAAAAATGAGAGTTCAGTTCAATCCCAAATAAATCTTTCTTTTACTCTAAAAATATACAGCTACTCTCTTCTAGAAAATAATTTAGAAACTCGCACTGCTTCTTAATTAACATATTAAGGACTAAAGTTACTTTTTAAGTTCATCATCCTTTTCCCCTAAGATTCCAAAAATACCTCCCCCTTACTTTTCAAATATATGTTATTACTTTTACTTTAAAGGAAAACACTGATTAACTAGGGAATGAAGTTCTCTCTTTATCCACAATTGGCAGCTGAAACGGCTCCTGTGGCTTTTCGTATAGAGATACTGGCATTAAAGTAATGCAGTTGTGCCTCAAAATATTAATTTCAGAATCTCACCAAGAGTGGGTGACCCCCTTCACCCAAATTTAAGGCTAAAGCTCTCCACAGGATTTTAAGAAAGGTCTCACAAGGCCATCTCTTTATTTATAAATCCAATCATTTAATTTATTTCCCTGAAGCTGTAGAATGCAGACCTCCATTCTGAGTCTACCTACGCATTAAAACTAAATTCAAGCTTCAAAACTACCTGTGTAGACCTATAACTTCCATTTTATTTAAAATGTAGCATTTCTCCTTCAAAAAATAATTTTGTCTCTGCAACTATGAACTACACTAATAAATTCTCTCCCATTCCCAAACACACACAAAAGCTGGTAAAGTCTATCTACTGACCTATCTTTGAGAGACGGCTAAAATAAAACACAAGCTGAATGTTGAAACTGCTCCAAAACTGAGCTTAAATGAGGTTCACTCATCCTTTTGAGACTACGGTATGAGAAACTATAAGGACTTCCTTTCCTGAGAAAAGACCAGAGATTAATTAAAGATAAAAGTATCTATTAGCTCCTTATCATACTTCACAATTTACACAATATCCACACGCTATTAGTACCCATCCTCACTTAAAATAAGCCTATGTCAGTAAATAATATGGCAAAAAAGGCTAATATCATCACTAACAGCATTTACAGAATTCATGCGTTTTAACACTATCGCAAAAAGGTTAATATCATCACTAAAAGCATTTACAGAATTCATGCGTTTTAGCACAGTGCTAGATTTTACACAAAAAAGTGTCAACTACAATGGAACTGAAACTTGAAATTATCATTGTGGACTTTACAATTTAACATTAAGATCGTTCTTGTAAAATAATAGTTTAATTATTCTAGCCAGTGAAGACTCTTAACAGAGAGTCCAAAGGACAGAGCAGGATTCCTGAAGCAGTTTTGGGTGAAATCAAATTTATGAGAGATTCACATAAAGATGATGTTGCACGGAGTTCCACTTCTACCTTCGATGTAAAGTATCTTCAAGAGTGTTATTTCTAACTTAAAAACCAGAAAAAGACAAATAAACTATCATATTACAATATTTCTTGAGCCTGTCAGAGGCAATGAAGTAGCCTGACATCCCAGGAAGGACAGATTCCTCCAAAACACGAGACGCATGAATTGCCTCTCCAACAGTAGAACACAGGAAGAAAATGCAGCTGCTACACATGTGAGTAAGAAAAAAATCAACCAGAATTTTAACAAGTCTATTTTCTGTTTCTATAGAGTTGGCTATTCTAACCATTTCATAAAACTGGGTTAAAAAATGGGTCTTCTGTGATTGACTTCTTTGACTTAGCATGTTTGTCCATGCACATATCAAAAAACTTCATTCCTTTTATTAACAAACAATATTCTGTTGTATGGATTTACTACATTTTGTTCAGCCAATAGACATCTGAGCTGTACAACGAAACTTATAAAGCATTTAAAAAAATTAAAAATTAAATACAAAAACTTCCTAATTTCGTAAGTCAGAAAACTTAAAATATTGTTAAAATGGTAATACTCCCCAAACCAATTTACAGATTCTATGCATCCCCTATCAAAATCCCAGGTGCCTTTTTTTGCATAAATTGACAAGATGATCCTAAAATTCATATGTGAATACAAAGGACCTAGAATAGACACAACTTGGAAAAGAAGATTAAAGTTGGAAGTTAGAAGAATAACGTGTTTTGGGGGCACCTGGGTGGCTCAGTCAGTAAAGCACCTGAGTTTGGCTCAGGTCACGATCTCAGGGTCTCAGGGGATGGAGCCCTGCACTGGGCTCCCTGCTTGTCCTTCTGCTCCCCCCTCACTCATGCTTGAGAGCGTGGTGTGCCCGCTCGCTCTCTGTCTAGTAAAAAAATTAAATCTTAAAAAAAAAACAAAAAAACGTGTTTTGACTTCAAATCTTCTACAAAACTAGAGTAATCAAGAAAACGTGATACTGATTCAAGGAGAGACACAAATATCAATGGAAAAGAACTGAGAGCAAGAAATAAAACTTTATGTTTATGGTCAACTGATTTTCAACAATTAACAACAGTGACAAGACAATTCAATGGGGAAAGAACAGTCTTTTTAACAAATAGTACAAAAGCTGGAGAACTACTTGCAGAAGAATGAAGTTGGACTCCTTATCCCATACATAAAATTAATACAAAATGGAAGAAACCTAAATTTAAGAGCTAAAACTCTTAGAGGAAAAACAGAAAAATAAATCTTTATGACCTTGGGTTATGCAATGATTTTTTTTTCTTTTTTTTGGGAGGGAGGGGCCATGATTTCTTAGATACAATACCTAAAACACAATGATAAAAGGAAAAATAGGTAAGCTGGACTTCACCAAAATTTAAACGTTTTGTGTTACAAAGGGTACCATCTAGAGAGTGAAAAGACAACCTACAAAATGGGAGGGTATATGTGCAAATCATGTATCTTATAAGAGACTTGTATCTAAAATATATAAAAAACTCTTATAACTCAATGTATACATGTAAATCTTTATATATGATCCAGAAAGATAAGTGAGATATTCTGACTTAATTTTTTCCCAGTACCATGAATTATATTCAGTCTGACAGTTTTGACTTTAAGAAAGGAGGTGAAGGGAGACAAAGGCTGAAGGTATTATATATTTGAATTTGGAATATTTTAATTATTATGGACTCAGAGGACCCTTTCTCATCTGCCAATTTGTATTATCTCATACACTGTTAGTTATATCCTAAAATAAAATAAATTCCAGAATTTTATATACAAGCATTTAAGACAAAAAGATTGAAAGAAACAGGCAAAAGAACTCACACTGAAAAAAGAAGACCCAATATAGTATTAAGAAAAAAAGTTAACTTTGTCATAAATCCAAAACAATGGCAGAGGTACATAATTTTACAAAAAAATACATTAAGGAGAATTAATGCAACATATATATCCCCACCCAAAAAAAAGATAAAATTTAGAAATGTAAACTCTGTATTATGTAAACCACAGGTTTGAAAGCATACAACCCACGTTAGAAATAGAAACTGTCACTATGGGGCGCCTGGGTGGCTCAGTGGGTTAAGCCTGTCTTTGGCTCAGGTCATGATCTGGGGATCCTGGGATCAAGCTCTCTACTCAGCAGGGAGCACGCTTCTCTCTCTCTGCCTGCCTCTCTGCCTACTTGTGATCTCTGTCTGTCAAATAAATAAATAAAATCTTTAAAAAAAAAAAAAAAGAAAAAAAAACACCTGTCACTAATTAAGAATGGTGATTTATGGGGGTACCTGGGTGGCTCAGTTGTTAAGTGTTTGCCTTTGTTAAGTGTCTGTCCTGGGATAGAGCCCCGCATCAGGCTTCCTGCTCAGAGGAAGCCTGCTTCTACCTCTCTCACTCCCCCTGCTTATATTCCCTCTCTTACTGTCTCTCTCTCTCTCTATGTCAAATAAATGAGAATCTTAAAAAAAAAAAAAAAAAAAAAAGAATGGTGAATTATGGTTCTTTATAATATACTAAGCTTTAATTCCTATAATTTTCAGTGTTTAAATTAACGTTTTCAACGTTTTATTCTCATTGCACATTTGGAAAGACAAAATGCATGTGTATGTAGCTATAAAATAGTTAACTTACTATTTTTAGAAAGGGTATATTTATATCAACTTAGGACATCTTATCTCTACCTAAAATTTTTAGTAGAAATTAAATGTCTTTATAGGTTCCAATAAGCTAGTGTTTCATTTAAAACATTTAATTTTATAGAATTAATTTAATGAGGATTTGCTCTATGGAAAGGTTTTAACACAAAATTTTAAAAACATACTCCTAACATAAAATATATATGTCAGAATAATGAAGTTTATATGAATAAGAAGTCAGTCATACAAATGGTCCCATGGTTACAATCAGTGGCTTCTGAAGCTCAGAAGAATAAAAACAGCAGAACTGTAGATCCATGTTACTCCCATTTGGCCTTGAAAAACACAGTCATACTGAAATCTAAAATAAGACCTGTTTACCTACTCAGGAAGAAAAATAACCGTAGGGAAGATTACACATGTTAAGACCAGAAAGCTCCTCAAGAACTCAGGCTGGTGGACAACCATCTCAAAGGAAAACCGAGAATACAAAGATTACCTCAGCAACTTTTGGAGGCACTCCATCCCCAAGCACTTCCCTGATGAAGCAGTGCTGGCCCATATAGTATGAGAGTCCACAGGTCCGCTTAAAGGCATCTTTCAGTCGTTTTAGCTCTACATCAGTAACTGCAATTCAGAAATTGAAGAGGGTAAGAAACCAGAAGAGAAAAGAATTCTCTCAAAAGCTTCATTTTTTTTAAAGTAAGAGTTGGCAAGGATGTGGAGAAAGGGAACCCCTGTGCATTGCTGGTGGGAATGTAAATTGGTGTAGCCACAATGGAACATTTCGGAAGTTCCTCAAAAAATTAAAAACAGAAATACCGTATGATTCAGCAGTCTACTTCTGAGTGTTTCCCCTCACACACACACTTCTCAGTATCCAAAGAAAACAAAAACACTAATTTCAAAAGACAGATGCACCCCTATGTTCACTGCAGCATTATGTACAAGAGCCAAATTTTGGAAGCAACCTAAATTTATTTTATTAATAAAAATAAATGGGTATGGGGTGCCTGGATGGCTCAGTTAAGTGGCTGACTCTTTATTTCAGCTCATGTCATGATCTTGGGGTCCTGAGACCAAGCCTCGTGTCGCGCTCTGTGCTCAGCATAGAACCTGCTGGAGAGTCTCTCTCTCCGTCTCTGCCTCTCCCCCAACTCACACTCACGTGCCTGCACTCTCTCTCTCTCTCTCTCAAATGAAGAAATAAAATCTTTTAAAAGCAGATAAATGGATAAAGATAAGAGGTGTGTTTGTGTGTATGTGTATACATATATCTACACATATACACATGCATATATATGCAATACAGAATATTACTCAGCCATGAAAAAGAACAAAATCTTGCCATTTGCAACAATTTGGATGGACGTCTAGGGTATTTATTCTAAGCAAAATAAGTCTGACAGAGAAAGACAAATACTGTAGGATTTCACTTATATGTGGAATCCAAAAAAACAAAACAAACAAAACAGAAACAGACTCATAAATACAAAGAACAAACTGGTGGTTGCCAGAGAGACAGATGAGGGGATGGATAAAACAGGTGAAGGGGATAAAGAGGTACAATCTTCCAGCTATAAAATAATTAAGTCATGGGGATATAAAGAGCAGCACTGGGAATACAGTTAATAATACTGTATTAACATTGTATAACAAGCACTCATAATGTATATAAATGTATATCCCAATCACTGGGATATAAAATGATAATCTCATAAACTGTTGGTTGCAGATCATTTGAAGAACTATTTAGTAGTATGTTTAAAAAATAGCAGACTATTGACTAATGAATTTATTCATTTATAACATGAGAAAATGTATGTAATAAACTTTTTAAAGCACTTATAAAAAGCAAGTGATGTCTATCAACACAAGACAGACTAAGTTACTGTATATACTAGAAATAGAATATTAGACACTAAAATACTGCCACAGATCTGTACTTACTGAAAATAAACAGCAGTTTTATTTATTCAAAATAAACCGACTAACAATTGGCTCATACGTAGACAAGGAGTACATACATAAAAGTATTCGCTTTTGTACAACTGAAATTTTGAAAACCTTAAAAATGAGAATTTAGGAGGACTGCAATCCCAGCTGAGTCACTCCTTATCCCTGGAACCTTCTGTAAGGTGGCAGTTTGAAAAGTATGTACCTTACTGGGTGGCTGGGAGAATTCTGTTCACTAATGCGAACTGCTCAGAACAGTGCCTGAGTTATAGAAAGCCATCTAAATGTTATTTATTGTGGCTGTCATTATCATATATGTGTGATGAGAATAGCCTCCTATAACTGCTGTGAGAATAACATGAAATAAAATGAAATTATACCATAATACTTCCAATACTCTTTCTAACAGCTTCACATACTTTTATTTAAACTAAAGTGCCTAATGAATATAAAGCATGTAATAGGTGAGGTTTACTACACCCAGACATTCAATAAATGGTACCTATTTTAAAAATTAAATAACAAAAAAATAAAAATTTAGGCAGATGAAAAATAGACTAGGATCAAGCTTAGTAAAATTTTAAAGTAGGAAAACATAACATTAATGTAGTTATTTTAGTTTTAGAAAGAAAAAACAACTTCAGGTAAAAAATGGAAAACTAAACACATTTTTTAAAAATTTATTTATTCAAGAGAGGGAGAGTATAAACAAGGGGAGCAGGAGGCAGAGGAAGCCACAGGCTCCCCGCTGAGCAGGGCGCCTGACACATGGCTCGATCCCAGAACCCTGGGATCATGACCTGAGCCAAAGGCAAATGCTTAACTGAGCCAAAGGCAGATGCTTAATCAACTGAGGCACCCACGCATCCGGGAACGCATTTTTTAAAAAATCTCTTCTCAGGTGCAGCTGTGTGGTTCAGTCAATTTACTGTCTAACTCTTGATTTCAGCTCAGGTCGTGACCTCAGGGTCATGAGAGCGAGCCCCATGTGGGGCTCCATGCTCAGTGAGGAGTCTGCCTGGGATTCTCTCCCTCTCCTTCTGCCCCTCCCCCTGCTCACACTAGTGCTCTTTCTCTCAAATAAATAAAATCTTTTTTTAAAAAAATCTCTTTGTCTCTCTAGACTTCACTAAAACTACAGCAAGAATAAAAGGATATAAATTCACAAGGACAAAGGGAAGAGAAAAGTGAGGACCTAAGAGTCAAATTTTTCTGTGACCATCAAGTGTTTGGAGGAGTGGTGACCGATCTATGCAGACCAAAGACCTGAAACCTAAGCACTAGCAGTTGAGAAACATGAACAAGAAACAAACTAATTTACCTATTTTTACCCTATTCAGAGCACCCCAAAAAAAAGGCTCAGGAACTGATGGTACCAATTACCACCAAAGGCAGGAGTGGGAGGGGTAGGTGGTAATAGGCAGGTATAAAGAGAGACTGACTGGTTGAAAGTCTGTATGAAAAGTGGTTAGAGGGACGCCTGGGTGGCTCAGTTGGGTTAAGCAGCTGCCTTCAGCTCAGGTCATGATCCCAGCGTCCTGGGATCCAGTCCCACATCAGGCTCCTTGCTCAACAGGGAGCCTGCTTCTCCCTTTGCCTGCCTGTGCTCGCTTTCTCGCTCTCCCTCTCTCTGACAAATAAATAAATAAAATCTTTAAAAAAAAAAAAAAAAAAGGGAAAGAAGTGGTTAGACCAGACCCTCAGGTCTAACCTTGAAGCATGACGTAGTCAGGCACAAGCCACAACTTTCACACAAACCTTTTAGATACAGATATATATATTAAAAGACCAGAGATACATTCTCCAAAGCATCTGAGGTAGAAAGGCCCCATACATGGAAACAGCAGGTTTACCTGAGAGCTGTAAGAATAATAAGGAATGAAAAAAAGGTAAAGATTTAAGTGAGCATCTGTATTCCTTGACCTACTGAGACATAGATATCACGTAGGCAGAATAAATAGGATTCTTCCCCAAAGAAAAGTAAATGATAGCAGAACATATGCTTACTGCTACTGACATGGAGTGAGAGGAGACTCTATTCCCTCCTTAGAAATGGCTGGGTTCCCAACTAATTACCCAACAGGAAAATCCCACAAGTCAAGTGACAAATTCAAACACATCAGTCATCCAGTCAATCTGTTTAATGTACACTTTTAAAAATAAATGGGCAGTTTGGCAGTTCTTACAAACTTAAGCATATACTTACTTATCCTATAACCCAGCAATTCTACTCCTTGTTATTTACCCAAGAGAAATGAAAATACTGTACAAAAATGTACACAGAAGTTGTATTAATAATAGCCAAAACACTAGAAACAACTCCTTTGTCCATACACAGGTGAATAAATGCGGTATATCCATACAATGGAGTAGTATTCTGCAATAAAAATTAAGAAACTGATTCACGCAACATAAATGAGTCTCAAAAGTGATACTGAACAAAACAAACTAGGCACAAAAGAACATACTATATGACATTATATGAAAGTCTTTTTTTTTTTCTTAAAGATTTTATTTAGTTGACAGAGATCACAAGTAGGCAGAGAGGCAGGCAGAGAGAGAGAGGAAGGGAAGCAGGTTCCCCACTGAGCAGAGAGCCAGATGTGGAGCCCGATCCCAGGACCCAGAGATCAAGACCCAAGCCTAAGACAGAGCCTTTAACCCATTGAGCCACCCAGGCACCCCATTATATGAAAGTCTTAAAGAGGCAAAACTAACTATGGTGGCAAAGACAGTGACTGACCAGTGGTGGAGTAAAGGGTGTGTGGGTAGAAATGTAGGGAACAGACCGCAAAGAGGTAGGAGGGAACTCTTCTGAGGTGATGGAAATGTTTTATACATTTGCCTGGTGTGCTGATTACACAAGAGAATACATTTGTCAAAACTAATTAAACTGAGTACTTAAAATCTGTGCATTTTATTGTATGTAAGTTACATTTCAATAGAATGGACCTTTAAAAAAGTGAATAAGCAGTCAAAGAACACCAAATATTGAGGAAGATACCAACAAGGAAGGTACCAAAACAAACAAGGGTAGTTAGTGGAGATAACAGAAATAATGAAGAAAGAAGAAAAAAACAATACTAAAGCCTCCAAATATTCTTAGAGAAGGATAAAAGGAAAATTACATCCAAATAAGCACTATAAAATATAGTAATGAGAAAATAACAATAATCTCTTGGACCCCCTTCCCAGTAGCTGTAAGAGAATGTTCCTCATCAAAATAAGGGGATAAACAAAAGAAAAGGGACCTGGAAAACACTGACTCCAGCATGAGAGAGGTAAAGGATGGCTGATTATGATATGACACCCCAGGATGACAACTACACAGTAGGCCTAGAGGATAGGACTAGATTAGAAATGAAGAAGGGTTCCAGAAAAAAAAGAAAGAGAGCAGGACGGTCCAAGTGATACATCTGACCACAGTGGGAACAGCTTTAAGAGGTATTTCACCCTCAAAAAATAAATCTCAAGCATGTTTTACTTTAGGTTTCTCTTAACCTAAAAAAGAGAAGAGAAGCCTTTCAAAGTACAGTTGACCCTTCAACAATACAGGCTTGAACTGCATGGGACCACTTATACGTGGACTTTTTTTTTCAATAAAGACATTGAAAAATATTTTAGAGATTTGTAATTTGAAAAAATCAGATGAACTGTACAGCCTAGAAATA